AAATCGTAAAAATCGTAAAAATCGTAAAAAATAAATTAATATAAAAAAACTATAATTCTTAGTAGAATTAACTTCTTTATTAATTATATATAAATTAAATTAATTCTCTATAAACTTATTATTAATATAACTTTTTTTTCTATTAATATTTTTCTATAATTTTTTTAAATTATGAAACTTAATATAAGCTTTTTAATAACTTAAAATTATTAAAATTCGATCTTATAGTTCTAAGTAAATCTTAAATTAAAGTATTTTTACTCTTCGAGAGTTAAATCTAATCTCGAAATTAAATTTAAAATTAATTACTTTTTATAAATTTAATTTATAGATTTAAACTTATAGAGTTTAGAAAGTTAAAAGAAACTTAGTTTACGCTACGTAACGAGGCGAGATAGAGCGAGATTTTAACGAGATAGCATTTTCTTAGCGAGGTAACGGCGATACTTTCTTATCTTCATTAAGCGTTTAATTAGATTAACTTAGAGCTATTACCCTCGTAACGTATTCGTAGCGCTTCTATAGCGCTCTCGTAACGTCTCTTTAAATATAATCTCATATATCTCATTATCTTATACTCTAATTTAAACTACGATATCGTATTTTATACTCTATTTTACTATAGTTCTTAATATATAATATTAAAATTTAGAGAATTCGCTTAGAGATACTTAAGATTCATCGAGATAATAGAATATACTTCGAAATCTCGTCGAGGTTCTTCGCTTCGTTACGTAGCGTAAATTCTAATTAAAGAATTAATTTTACGCGTAAGATAGTTTAACTTAATATTAAACTAATTAATTTTAAATTAGATTCTAGATTTCTTAAAAACTCGAATAGAATTAAATTAAAATTTAATACTTTTTTAATTAAAGTTAAAACTTCTATAATATTAAGTTCGAGGTAATAAAAAAACTTTTTTTAGAAATAAAAGTTTTAGTTTCGGAAAATTACGTATTAGTTAATCTAGTAAATCTTATTATATTTAAATATTATATAGATATAATTTAAAATAACGCGAAGACTTAAATTATAATATAATCTTTATTACGCTACGTAACGAGACGAGAAACCTCGACGAAGTTTCGAGGAAGCTCGAAACCCCGACCCCGCCCTAACCCGGAGCCGAGGTTTCGAAGTATACTCCGTTAACTCGATGAACCCTACCTTAGCGAGTAGCAGCGGTCTTCTTTTACTATATATATACGGTAAATATACGATTATTTTATTAAGACGTATTAATAGATCATCTGGCCCATCTCCGCCTTTAGACGATAAAGAATAAAAAACGAATTAAATAATTAACGATTATATATCTTAGTACGTATTAATAAAAAATCGTATCGAGTTAAAATAACTATAATATTTTTAATACGTTTTATAGATTAAAATCGTTACGATATCGTTATAATATCGTTACGATATAATTATAATACTATTATAAAATCGAGAAACCGTTATAAAATTAAAAACTATTTCGAAAAGAATAAAAAGAATAAGATATTTTACAAAATTAATTAATTTCAAATAAGAGAAATATTCGTTGATTCGAACTACGGAACGGGACTATCTTACTCTATAAATTTTTATTACTCGATTAAATTTACTTAAGCTAGAGAATAGTCTATTTAATTATATAAAGTAATTTACGTAAATTTATTATTACTAAGATATCTCTATAAATATCGTTATTCTATTAATTTATAATTATTATCGTAATATATTAGATTTTTAGATTTATCGTATTAAAAATTAATATACTTTTTTAAAGAAATTAATCTACTATCGTTCTACGAAAAGTACTATTAAAAATATATAACGTATTTAAAAATTTCCAGTATTACGGTACATTACTAAGTAATCGTTAAAAGGCGATAATTTTTACTAATTTAATATAGATACGATTATCGTAATTTATAGTTCTTCGCTAAGATAAGTATCTCTAAGTAATTTCTCTAAATTTTAATATTATATAATAGAAATAGAATAAAATAGAGTATAGAATACGATATCGTAGTCTAAATTAGAGTATAAGATATAGGTGCTTAGAAAGATAATGAGATATGTGAGATTATATTTACGAGGTATTACGAAGGCGCTATAAGAATGTTAAGAGAGTAATAGCCTCGAGCTAACTTAATTAATAGACTTAACGAGAGTAACGAAGTACCCCTATTACCCCGATAGAAAACCCTACTTCGATTTACCTCATCTCGTTAAAAACCTCGACTCGAAGCGAGGTAGTATTGGGTACTTAAAACCTCGCTCTATCCCACCTCGTTACGAAGCGTAATCTTTATTTTAATTATTAAATTTTATATCTTATAAGATTATTAAGATATAGTCTTTATTTATAAGATTTTTAAGTTATCTTTAAATTATATATATATTAAATTTAATAGAGATAATAATTAATTAACTAGATATCTAATTATAGAGAGTATTAAATTATATATATCGTTAAATTCTAATAAATTATTCTTATCTCGATAAATATTTTAATTTAATTAGATAATATATTTTAATAAGATACTTTTATATACTCGAAATATACCTTAAATTAAATAAGTAGATAGAAAAATATTCTCTTTATTAAAAGTTATTTTCTTCTATCTATTCATCTGCAAATCTGAAAAGTGAATTTCCGCACGATTTTCGCCGGGTCCGCACCATAAGCACGATTTAGCCTATTAAGCAGACTTTGTCTATGTTCAACCCTTTCCGTTAGTTCTGCCAGTTTAGCAACTTCAAAAATTTTCAGCAACTTCAAAAATTTTGCGCAATGCACTCTAATACACTAGGGGCTATCAAAGTTACTTCTGCTATTGCAAATAGTAACTATTTAACCCCATTTGCCACCCGTCAGCCCTACGAATAGTAGATAGCAAAAAATTTTGAAGTAGCAGGTCCGGACCTGCTATTTGACTCAATAGTTACTATTGCGTCTTAAAAAACACGCTCTAAAGTAGTGTTATATACATATATCGCGCTATCGTTAAGTCCTTTCTCCTATTAAGTCCTTTCTCTCTATCGACATGGCGAGAAAGAGCTTTTTTGCGAGATGTCTTTGGGGTAGATATGATAACGGTGATGAGAAATAGCGACAGCAATAGGGACTTTCAAAGTTACTATTGCTATTGCAAATAGTAACTATTTAACCCCTGTAGCCCTACTCAGCCTTACCATTTGCCACCGAAATAGTAACTTTTTTTCTACTAGTTAATAGCAACTCCAGACTTGCTATTACACTCAAATAGTTACTATTTGGTATTCTGAAATCGGCCCTAGCTTAGTCAAATACCTATTCCTCGTCCATATCGCGTCTATGCACTCGTACCTCCTGCGGAGTCATGGCTAGAAAGACTTCCAAACGCCGTCTAATTGACGCCTGCACCAGACATCTACTTGTTAAGAAGATCGCCGAGGCTTTGGACAGCAGCGATATCAATTCGTCTGACTCCGAAGGCGAGGATCCCGTTATAAAAACCCTCTTGAAGGTGACTGGGAAACGCTGCTTGAAGTCTCCTTCTTCGATAGCTAAAACATCGGCCAATCTAGACATCTACATGCAATGGAAGTTTGATCGACCGGATCTCTTTCGAGTACATGCTCGTTAGCGATAGCTATGGCAATGAGAGGACGTAGATATGTGTTTGGTAGTAGCTATTACTAGTAGTGTTGAGAGGTTATCTCCGATAAATGCTCTAGCGGAGGCTCTATGACGAATACGATTAGACGGTATTTAGTTAAAGAATATATTTCGGAGGATATTCAGCTATTTACTATTTAATAGTAAGGTGCTTTCAGAGTACTAGTAGCTATTTGACGATTTTTTAATAGTAACTATCTAATAGTAAAATCGAACATTGAAAGTCCCTAATAATGGCTATGGGAAGAGGCAGTGGCTATAGTGCATAGATAGGCATGCGCATGTGTTAGCAGCAGCCCCCACGGGGCCCTGCGACGTCCCTACGGGGGCCCTACGGGGCCCTATTTAGGTCCAAATAGGGGTGTCTGGCTATTAAGCAGACACTCCCGGGATTAGGCTTTTTTAGCTGAGTTGCTTAATAGCATGGCATTTGTGCGGAGAAGATTTCTCCGTCGCCAAGGCCCTATGCATCAAAACGGTTAATAGGTATTTATGATTACGAATCAGATTTGAATAGTTACTATCTAATAGTAAGGTGCTATCAAGGAACTAGTAACTACTTGCAATATCAGATAGTTACTATTCGCAATAGCAGAAGTAACTTTGATAGCCCCTACTCTAAGTACTATTCTATATACATATGGCATCAATATATATCATCATCAACATGCGCATCACCAGGGGGTGCAAAAAGTCATTGAATACGCTAGGCCAGATTTAGACGTAACACCGTAGCAACCCCGTTAATATCATTTATTTACCCACATTTATTTATTTCTTATTATTCTACACTCTATATCTAATATAGCTAGAGTACCATATACCCCCCCGTAAAAAAAGAACCTCAAAGACCAATCGTCGTGAGGGTGATACTGTCAAAAAAAGCCGTTTCTTTGAGGCAATTGACAATCGAGGTAATACACCTTTATTACAGATATTCAAAGAAAAAAACGTTCCCAAATCAACAGCGAATTTCTGGCTTTCACAACGACGTCAAGCTCCAGAAGTAGCCTTTCGAAGAATTGGTGCATTTCGTACGGAACGGCCACTCAAAATACCGGATGAAAAGCTTACGGCAATACTGGATCCGAAGAACGAGGCCCGTAACGAAGGCTATGAACGACAAATTGAGGTCTTCTCTTTAGGATGTACTGTCAGATGCTTACAAAACGCACTCCGGACGAGAAAAGCCAATGCCAAGCTATACAAAAAGATCAAATACAAATGGGTATCTTAGTCGAATAAGGAAATTAGGCAGGATTATGGGCATGGTCATGGGGATGAGACAGTGGAGCATTTTTGGGCCTTTGTGGGCTGGACTGATGAGGCTCACGTGGATCCCAGTGCCATGCAAGCAGGCTGGGTACTCAGAGAGGAGGGTCCGGATCAGCGTTACGCTCCCGAAAACGTAGCTGAAATACCCCCGCTCGAGGGGGTAGTTCTGCATATGTCAGCCTTTGTCTCCTATTATCACAAGGGAGATCTGCACTTTTACAACGATCCTGACGATGTTCCGGAGCTGAATGTTACCGTACAAGTGGATGTTCCTAAGAGAAAACGGCCTCCGAAGCAGCGAAAAAGTGAGACTGAAGAGCAATTCCTCCGGAGCGAACGTTACCTGGAATGGCTTGCAGCGGAGCCTCACGACGTCGAAGTACAACCAAAAGAAAACTCTATAACTCAGATATTCTATACCAAGAAGATCCTTCCGTCACATCTCAAAGAAATGCAGGAAGTTGAGCGGAAAACGGGTAAAAAGTGTGTTCTTCAGAAGGATAATAACCCAAGTCACGGCACTCAATCAGCTGTAAACTACGCACGAGAGTATAAACGAAAGCACAACATCGAGACTCTGAAACATCCAGCCCAATCACCGGATCTCAATCCCATAGAAGCCGTGTGGAACATTCTAAAGCAGAGGATGCGTCATAGGAAGTGAAAGAATAAGGATAACTTGAAAAGAGTCCTTCTCGAGGAGTGGGAGGAGATTTCTCTAGAAGAAATCCAGAAACGGATCAATGAGATACCGGAACGCTGTGCATGGCTTATAAATAACGGTGGCAAGGGCATTAAATCAGCTACTTGGTGATCTGGTAGTGGTAGAATAGTAGAAATGTAACCAAAATGACCTGGAGAAGCTACGTCTAAATCTGGCCTAGCGTGTCCAATGACTTTTTGCACCCCCTGGTGGCATCATTATGCGCCATACCAGAGCATCACCCACGCGACTAATTTCATTAAATCGTCTAATTCCGTAACCAAATTTGAGTTGGCGTTAATACTCGTCGCCGTAGAACCTTACCGTCGCAACGTCGATTATTAGAACTTTTCTTTTTCGTGCGTATTGCTGCTAAATTGGTAGAACTGGCGGAAAAGGTTGGGACAGTTGCTGAACCGGCGGAATTTGGGCGGATTCTAATCAGAGTTACTAATCCGGCGGATTTTATGATTTCCGCGACACACGCGCGATCAGCAATTTCAAATTTTGCAGGAACTTTTCAGATTTGCAGATGCTTTCTCTATTTCTCTATACTATATTTAATACTTTAATATTATCGCTATTATATATATACTACGTCGCTATTATATTTATACTTCGTATATATATACTTCGTATATATATATTACGTCGCTATTATATAGAGTACTAGTACTCCTTAAAATAAAGAATAATAATACTATTCATGAAATTTGAAAGTATGCCAAGCACTCAGCCCTACCTGAACTCTTATCTTGGCATATCTAGAACTTTTAATACCGACCTCCGTACTAATATAATTTATCTAGAAAGAATTTTTTCTCTTATATTCTTTTTTAGAATCTACTTCTGTTTGCAAAAATCATTCGCGGGAGCGCCTGTTTGGGAGCTTTTAAACCTCAGCCCACCCTCACGGTAATATTACCGGAGAACGATTAGACCGACTCGCCGGATTAGTAAGGCCCTCCCATAGTAATTTGGCAGCCTTCCTTACCTGTTGCACTCTTCTTCTTCATACCTCGCTGTCGCCCATCAATTTTTTTGAAGCTATCCACAACTCCGCTCTACAACTTCGCCCCGCCCACTATGACCTCTCAAGAACGCGTCGTTCGCCAGCCCCCGCAATACGGGGGCTTCGAGGATACTCAGGAGGAGCTGGATTGGTACGGTAGCAACCCTGAAGGCATTGATCGGGATCGTCCTCTGCCAGAGGTTCTCTCGGAAGACGATATGGCCCTGCTGCAGGAGAAGGATGAGAGTGACCCCAGTGATGCTGAGTGGAGTCGCGGCACGTACTCTGACGCGTCTAGATCGCCGTCGCCACCATTCAACACCCTCCCTATCTTCTACCACCCCCCTATCAAGCGGAAGGCCTCTGTTAGCCTTGATAAGCAGAAAGAGCCGCGAAAGGGGACCAAACGTAGCAAACTCGCGCCTGTGATACCCTCGAAGGTCGGGCTAATTACCGAATCATACCCCGAAACTATAAATCCTTATCGAATTATACCCCTAATTACTGAATTATACCCCTACATTAAAATTTGAGATATAATTCGATAAGAATTAATTGCTTAAGATATGATTTAGTAATTTATTAAATTTACTATATAGACTATTAGAAGTAAAGAGACGAATTATATTTTCATATCTCAAACTATATAATTCTTATAAATTCATACCTCATCTTACATTTTCATACCCCTTATTAAAAAAATAGGGTATGAATTTATAAGTTGTTAGTCTTTGAGATATGAATTTGTAAGTTATCATTTCTTAGGGTATGAAAATATAAGATATCACGCTCTACGAGGCTCTATTTAGATTTAAATAGAGGTATCTAGCTATCAAGCGTAAACACCCCCGAGACTAAGTCTTTTTAGTCGAGTTACTAATATAATACTTTTATATCTATAAATTATTAGAAATTATTAGTAACCCGAGTTATCGCTAAAGAGTTAAATAGAGATATTTATACTTTACGCTATAGACATCTCTAAGAGGCCTCGTAGAGCCCTCGAAGAAATAATTTCTAATATTAACTCGCTCTATAGATGATAACTTATAAAATTATACTTCTATTAATAGTATCTTATAAAATTATATCTCTATTAATAATATCTTATAAATTTATATTCTATTAAGATATGAAAATATAAGATAAGATATAAATTTATAAGAATCTTATAGTTTAGGGTATAAAAATATAATTCGCCCGAGAGTAAAGACTATATATGAGAGTTATAGACTGGGTATAGATAGGCTAGAGAATTAAATTTAGCTCACTATTAGCAGCCTCTACGGAGGCCCTACGACGGCCCTACGAGGGCTGCTACTAACACCCACTCGACTTTCGTCTAATATATCTAAGTTAATAGATTACGATCGAAGATATTTTCTCTTTTCTATAATCGAATAACCTAGGTCGCGAATTTTCTTCTTTGCGATTTTTATTATGAATGGCAAATTATTAAATTATATTTCAAGTAATAATAAATTACTAAATTATATCCCTAGGGGTATAATTTAATAATTAGAAGTATAATTCGATAAGGATTTATAGTTTCGAGATATGAATTAGTAATTAGCCCCTCGAAGATCGCGTTAAGATATCTACGATAAACCTAACGATCCCAGCAAGCATATGTTAAATGTTCGTGAAGTACTCGATGAGATTAAGGTCAAATTCTACGATTTAAAGGCGGGTATGATAGATTGAGAGAACGATGTAAGGGAGCGTATTTCCGCTCAGTGGGTGGCGATGTTACGCTAAATGATCGGGCTTATTCTTTAATAAGGGGTTTAAGAGGCCTTGAAGGAGCTCGCCGGCGATGAGTATAATATAGCCTGGCTAAAGGCGTCAGCGAGGCGGAGTAGGGAGGATTAAACTAGACTACATAGGCAACACCATCGATAAAGTCCTCTTCCCCGTGAAAATCCCCAGCTCCGGTGACGGCGAGTCTTCTTTCCGCCCTGTATACCTCGGGAAGGCGGAGAGCCTTTATTATACGAATAGCCTCATCGATGATAGCGAGATCTAGCGACGGTGTAATAGTGACAGCGAGGTTGCTACGAGGCCGCGCCTTATTTTAATATAACTCTTATATAAACCTGACGCGGCCTTATAATTCCGCTACTGATATTTTTCTTAGCATAGACTAAGATTTAAAAGTATTCGTCTATTTTTATCGTAACCACAGCCAAATATACGTAAGAGGTATTTCGTATTATATAGATATAGAATTATATTTAAGTAGTCGTTATAGTAGTTACTATAGCTATTTAAGTAGATTACTTAGTTTTATAAGAAAACGTATAATATTAGAAAATACGAAAATTTTAAATTCGATAAATTCGATATAGCTAGCTACTACTATTATAGCTATTACTACCACTTATTTAAATAACTACTATATCTACTACGTCAGGCCCACTTAGATTACTATCGTTTAGTTTACTGAGAGCTTCGTCGTAGTCTTTACTATAGTATCTTCGTAGTAATATATCTAGTAAGGTGAAAGAGATACGATTTTTACGCGTTAATAGATCGATAAGGTCTAAAAAATAATAATTTAAGTTTCTTAATGTAATAGCCTTGATAGCAAGAAAGAACTAGAGTTATTAATCCTTATTATACGGAGTTACCATAGAATTTTAGTAAGAAGTAGACATTTAAGTATTGAATCGGACTTATCGAATTTAAGATTCCGCATTTCCTAGTATTATACGTTTTCTTATAAAACTAAGTACGTCTAGTAGATAGAGACTATACTAGTACGCGTAGCAGCTATTAATATAAAATAGTAATGTAATTTGTCGGCGATCGACGACGCTAAGTATTATCATGTATGGCTAGCCCACGTAATTATAACCCTTCTCGTTTTAAATTATACTTTTAAGTAGGTAATATAGATATATATTAAAAGAGGGGGTGTATCTATATTAGCTTCCTTCTTTTAAATCACATTGCTAAACCTATCTAGTAGATAGATTTTTTGCTTTTAGAACTAGTCGAAGAATCATTCAGAGATATTCTTGATGTTCGCTGGGTCAATACTTCGTTTTATATTCCTACTGCTCAGTCTATAAGGTAAAGTAGTCCTATCTATAACAGATTCATCAGTCCTCTTTCTTTGTCCCCGAGGATCAAGCTCCGTCGAAAATATGCAGCGAGCTTCGCTTCTGCCATCAGTCTTCCCATGGGCTAATTACCGAATCATACCCCGAAACTATAAATCCTTATCGAATCATACCCCTAATTACCGAATCATACCCCTACATCAAAATTTGGGGTATGATTCGATAAGGATTAATTGCTTGGGGTATGATTCGGTAATTTATCAAACTTGCTGTGTAGACTATTGGGAGTGAAGACTGTGTGTGAGAGTCACAGACTGGGTGTAGATAGGCTGGGGGGCCAAATTTAGCCCACTGTTAGCAGCAGCCCCCACGGGGGCCCTGCGACGGCCCTACGGAGGCCCTATTTAGGTCTAAATAGGGGTGTCTGGCTGTCAAGCGCAAAAAAAGCCTAGTCCCGGGGAGTCTGCGCTTGACAGTCAGACCCCTATTTAAACCTAAATAGGGCCCCCGTGGGAGCTGCTGCTGCTAACACCCACTCGGCTTTCGTCTGATATTTAAGCTGGTAGGTTATCCATTAAATACGGTCGGAGATATTTCCTCTTTTCTATGGTCGGATGGCCCAGGTCGCGAATTTTCTCCTTTGCGATTTTCATTATGAATGGCAAATTACCAAATCATACCCCAAGTAATGGCAAATTACTGAATCATACCCCTAGGGGTATGATTCAGTAATTAGGGGTATGATTCGGTAAGGATTTATAGTTTCGGGGTATGAATTAGTAATTAGCCCGTCTTCCCATACTCCAGCACACTTTCGAAGATTACGGTCGGCCGCTGCTACCGCCCTCAACTTTTAGTAGTAGAGATTTGCTCATAAGGTACGCGAGACTGTCTTGCTTGCTCCTTTAGCTCGCCTGCTATCAATTCTCAACTCGAACCCCAGAATCGTTAGCAACGTCGATCAAGCTATTCAATTACTAACGCTACGCTATATAGGACCTTAAATTTAGCGTCGACGGGAGGGCGGCTCTACTCAAGGAGTGTATAGGCGTGACTTCCTTGTAGGCATTTGCAGCTAGCTACATGTATAATAGCGGCTTGGCCTAATGGGATATATCCTGCAGCAGTCTTCCTGCTTTATAGAATAATTAACACCTTCTATCCACCAGAACTCCTCTTCTTCAAATCTAAAGGGCGTTGAGATATTCTCCAAAGCTGTAGCAACCACACTAGGACCCAAAGGACAAAATGTCTTGGTCGAAACGAGCTATCGCTCTCCTAAGATCACTAAAGATGTCGTCCAAAAGACCATTAGAGAATAGATGCCCATGCTAAATATCAACTTATAGAATCTATTACATCGAGATATTGATGAATAGTGGGAGGTCGTATTCTAAATCGAGTTGCGTCTTCGTTTCCTCGAAAGCAAGTGTAACAGTTTGTCAGCAATATCGCCGCTCGATAGAGGTCTCCCACAGGCTGAAGATCTATCTTTATTTATTGTTTTAAGGCGTTCGACATCCATAGCTTTTGCGTTCGTCCAAAGCCATGTTCCACTGTAACTCTAGCAGTTGCCATTTGTGCGTTAAAGCGTCGCTTCCTCTTAGAGACCAAGCCCACATAGGGGGACATAACGTGACGTTGATGGATATAGGCCTTATCCCCAAAGACATGGTAGCGTCTAGGCTTCCCTCTGAAGACTCCATCAAGTCTATCAAGTATACCGGACTTCTGAAGCATCGTAACATCTGCTATCTTTTCTTTAAGAGGATCAAAGCTGGCGTCAATAAGACCGTCTGGACAAGTAATTGCCATCCAAGCCATACCATGAGACTTCTTGTAAGCGGAGTAGAAGAACTCCTCCCTCTGCTTTGGTCGTGCAAGCCTTCGAAAAGTTCCATCAACAAAAGCCCAAATAGTACTTCGTCTACGATGACTATTAAATCGCTTAACGATTCGAGCGTATCGGCGAATTCGATTATAAGTAAGCGAGAAATGCTAATAAAGAATAGAATTATAACGCCTTCGTAAATGCTTAAGTATATTATTTAATATAATAGATAAGTAGCTTTTTGAGCGTCCAAAGGATTGTGTGAGTTCAAAGAGTAGTCGTAGCTACGAAAGCTTGCTTAATAATAGATATAAAGCGAATTCTAGACTAGACCGTACTCGCTCTCGATACTCTATATTTTCTAGATTAAAGTAATTAATTAGAAGACGTATTTCTTCTTTCGTAAAACGTATAATCCTTCGTAATCGTTTCGGTATCTATTTATTAAGATTAAATTTAAATTAATCGTATTCCACCGAGGCACGCGGGTGACAGAAGTCGTTGCACACTAGCCCCAAATGGAGAATAGGGCAATCCCCCACCAAATTTCTATGCGCCAACACCATTCTTCTCTACTAGAATCCTGTCATTTGACCCTCGCCATCTATGACTGCCTGTAATCTCTTAGGCATACTACATATACACTCGTTAATGAATTTCTGAGAAGAATGGTGTTGGCGCATAGAAATTTGGTGGGGGATTGCCCTATTCTCCATTTGGGGCTAGTGTGCAACGACTTCTGTCACCCGCGTGCGAGGGTACGTATCTATGGCGTGGCGCAGCAGCGACGATAGCCCAAGAACTTAACAATACAGTCTACCTAGGCTATAACGATATATCGTTTCATAGAGACAGTATCGTTACAACCAAATTATCGTTAAGCCTAGATTTACACTAATTACTATTAAAATACGTCTGAATCGATGCCTGCTTTTGCGCAGAAGCCTTACGAGCCCTGATCTCTCTCTTATATCGATTCAGACGTGTGATTAGTATATCATCGCCGTCGTTTTGTTGTTCCTCGTATAATTATAGACGTTTTAGTAGCTTTAGGGCCTCTGAATCCTTGACACGAGGTATCGAAATATCCTCTTCATCAGTCTTGTAAGCCCGTTCTTCATGACTATAGGTAGCTGCAATCAGGTCTATAATACTCGTATCCTTATCTTTATCAACTACATCCTCATTGGTAGAATTTAGGAAACGGGCCACATGCATTGCCGATTTGATCTTTTCCTAGGAAGCTAAGGCCTGAATCCGCTTATTCATTTGAGATAACACATCGTCGTTCAGCGTCAGTAACTGCCCGGCGTCGTTTTCGAGTAGGATTAGGCGGTGGGGGAGAGATAGATGCCCTAGGCCCACTGGAATCCTATCTCAATGGCGGCGACGATGGCGAGGATATATTGTTTAGGGCCATTGGATATAACGATATTACTGAATTTACTAGGCAAATGCTAACGATATCGTAGTAGATAAGTTATCGTTATTCTATATCAAAAATAATTATTATATGGCTATATAATCGTTACAACCAGAATATCGTTATATGGCGAATCGTTATAGCCTAGATAGACTATAACACTAGAAAGGCCGTAGCAATAATACCCCCCTCGTTGAAAGCGTCCATGATATATAAATGTGATGGAATAAAAAGGTTAGATAGGAAATTGTGATAGATTTGATTAGATCGCGCTAAGCCCAAGATATTACCCAATTAAGTTAGCGGCCGCCGGATAAGGCTGATCCCGCTTTAAATCATTCTTTTGAAATTCGTTGCTACGGTTGCTAAACCTGTCTCGCTAAAGTGATCACTCTACAAGACAAGTTCGAAAATCTTAGTGCCCGTCTCTTACAAGATGTTGCCTCGAAAACGAACGAGGTAGCTGGTGATGGTACCACAACCGCCACTGTCCTCGCTCGCGCCATCTTCTCCGAGACTGTCAAGAACGTCGCTGCCGGATGCAATCCTATGGATTTGAGGAGAGGTACACAAGCCGCTATCGAAGAACAACAAGCGTGATATCACCACTGGCGAAGAGACTGCTCAGGCGGCCACTATCTCGGCAAACGCCGATACCCATATGGGAAAGCTTATCTTAGATGCTATGGAGAAGGTTGGCAAGGAGGGCGTTATCACTGTCAAGGAGGGAAAGACGATCGAGGACGAGCTTGTGGCTACCGAGGGTATGAGATTCGACCGTGGCTTCACCTCCGCATACTTCATCACCGATACTAAGTCCCAAAAGGTTGAGTTCGAGAAGCCTTTGATCCTGCTGTCAGAGAAGAATATATCTGCAGTCCAGGATATAATACCCGCGCTTGAAGCCTCCACTCAGATGCGTCGTCCACTTATCATCATTGCTGAGGAAATTGATAGAGAAGCTTTGGCAGTCTATATCCTCAACAAGCTACGTGGTCAGCTACAAGTTGCCGCTGTCAAGGCTCTTGGTTTTGGTGACAACCGCAAATCCATTCTGGGCGATCTCGGCATTCTCACCAACGCCACTGTGTTCACGGTCAAGCTTGATATCAAATTGGAGAAAGCTACGCCGGAGATGCTTGAATTAACTAGCTCGATTACGATTACGAAAGAGGACATCATTATTCTGAACGGCGAGGGCAGCGTAGACGTAATAGCACAGAGGTGCGAGCAGATTCGCGGCGTTATGAATGATCCATCAACGTTCGACTACGAGAAGGAGAAGCTATAAGAGCGCCTGGCTAAGCTGTCCGGAGGTGTGGCTGTGATTAAGGTTGGAGGTGCTTCCGAAATTGAAGCTGGAGAGAAGAAGGACCGCGTTGTTGATGCTTTGAACGCGACCCGTGTAGTTGTAGAGTAAGGTATCCTACCAGGTGGAGGGACTGCACTCTTGAAAGCTGCCGCCAATGCGCTAGGCTCCGTCAAGCCCACCAACTTTGATTAACAGCTGGGTGTCAGTATCATTAAGAGCGCCATCACTCGCCCAGTATGTACGATTGTCGAGAACGCTGGTACTGAAGGTAGCGTTGTCGTTGGCAAGCTTGTGGATGAATTCGGATCAGACTTCAATAAGGGCTTTGACAGCGCAAAGGGCGAATATGTTGATATGATCGCTTTCGATACTACGATATGGCATACTTGGCACGGTGTTGAATTGATGACCTGATATGCGTTGGACAAGCAAGGGTTCGAGCTAGTCTACTTGCTAGATGCTATCTGTCTAGGATCAATACAGCTAATGTACAGCATTTGTAATCGTACGCTTCCTCAAGAATAGCTGCAGGAAATGTACTGATAGAAGCTCGGGGTGTTAGTTGCAATGAGCTACTATACCGGTGCCATCATCAACTAGCAAATAAACGATATGGATGATGCAATTTCGCCGGGGCAATATCGAAGGACTAGGGGAAAAGTAGGCCTCGCACCGGTGTTTGTCTGTGGCTTTAGGCTTGAGCGAAACGTCGGATAAACTTATCATCTAAAACAGAATTTTCTCAGCATAGTCCAGAAGCTTTGGATTGGGCCTCACCTTTCGGAGCGCTTGATTTTCTCCTTGTCATCTTTCGGCTGCGACCATTCAGAAAGGGCGACTGAGAGTCTTCGATGATTGGTCCAAGGGTCTTCGCCTGCTTAGGTCCAGCTTTTTGCACCTTACTTGGCCGAACCTGCGAATTTATATCGTTGAAGCCGGCCGTAATAATGCTACGTTTTCCTTGTCTAGGACCTTTAACGCTGCCCTGTAGCTTAGTTGATTCTCGCGTGATGCTCACTTCTCTATGCGAGCTTGGAGTTTTGGTGTCATGACCATGAGCGGTGACTTGAGTAGGAGAGGTGGCTATTGAAGATCTGGGCATCGCGTAATTATGCCCAGCTTTGGAATGAGTGCGCCCCTGCGACTGCGAGTAAGACTTATCCGTGGTCCCAGAGCCGGTATGTGGTGTAGCTTCGCGGAACGATCGTTGCTGTCTTCGCTGCGTCTCAGAAAGTACCGTGGTATGGAATACCGAGTTGCGGGAGTAATCGTGGTCTTTGGTACGGGAACCGGCTCCAGGAGTCGATGGGAACAGGTGAGATATATCCTCACCAGCTATGGTTTGAGACTCTTCTCGAGCATAGCTGGCAAAAGGGTTATCCAGTTGTAATTCGTCAAGGCTTCCGAAGGGTGAGGATTCAGGTGGTTGTGAATCCTCTAGTATTGGGATAGAGGATTTAGGAGTCGCGGGCCGCACGGAAGAGCTTTGATCTATCGAGGCGTGCTGGGAGTCTCGATGCTGAGTATGTATTCTGTGAGCTGGTTGCGTACCTCGAATGGAAGGGCTTTGCCCAACCATCCTAGACGAGGATCGTTGCTGTCTTCGCTGCGTCTCAGAAAGTACCGTTGTATGGGATACCGAGTTCCGGGAGTAATCGTGGTCTTTGGCACGGGAACCGGCTCCAGGAGTAGATGGGAACAGGTGAGATATATCCTCACCAGCTATGGTTTGAGACCCTTCTCGAGCATAGCCGGCAAAAGGGTCATCCAGAATTAACTCGTCAAGGCTTACGAAGGCTGACTTTTCAGATGGCTGTGAGTCCTCTACTATTGGCGGTCGGTTCGCGAAATGCATAGAGGATTTGGGAGTCGCGGGCCGCACGGAAGAGCTTTGACCCATCGAGGCGTGCTGGGAGTCTCGATGCTGAGTATGTATCCTGTGAACCGGTTGCGTACCTCGAATAGAAGGGCTTTGCCCAACAATCCTAGATGAGCTAGGCCTCGTAGCCTGCGTTACTTGAAGTGCCATGATCTCCAGATCCTTGGCCTTTACTTGATCGTTCGCCTTATTCAACATGGCCTGCAAGCCCGAATATTCGTCATTCTTTTCAGAGGTGCGCACGTTGATTTCCTTCAGATGAAGCTGGAGAGCCTTCCTTGTCCCGATAACAGCCTCTTTCTCGCTCCGTGCCTCTTTCAGCAATACTTGCAACTGAGCAGTCTCCTTTTCTGATTTCTCTTTCTCCGCTTTCAGCATACTGACTTGTCTGGTTACGTTCTTCAACTTCTCTTCGGCCGGGGACTTCTCCAATCTCAGCTGCTGGATAGCGTTCATGTGCTCGCTTTGCATATTTGCAATCTGCATGTTCGCTGCCTTTGATAGCTCTTTTCTCAATTGCTCCCCCTTAGCCATAGCTTGGCTCTCGCTCGTTAACTTTTCTTCTCGCACTTTCGTTGTTTCTTTGCACGCAGTCTCGAGTTGTTCTTGGCTAGTAGCCAAAAGTTCAGTCGATTCTCTAGCATCTGTGGAACTTTGCTGAAGTTGACTGGAAAGATCTGCAGCTTCTTTCCTTAAACTGACAATTTCGCTCTGAAGAGTTCTATTTCGAGAGTCAAGCTCCTGGATGTGGAGTAAAGCTTGTGAGGCCTCTGTAGGTTGGCTGTGACCTCTGGCTGCAACGGTCTCTAAAGTCACAATCCTTCGCGACTGCTCTTGGTCTTTGAGTCGAAGAGCTATAACTTCTCGGCGAGCGTCCGCAAGTGAGCTCTCGGTTGCCTGTAACCGTTCTCGAACAGTAGCCCTCACCTCCCGAAGGTCGCTGATTTGTTCTGACAAGGCGTGTTCAGAAAAGATGTTACCGCTTAAAGCCCGAAGTTGATCCTGCACAGCCAGCGCAAGCTGCTTTTGTCCTGCCTCCATCGAGTTAGAACTTTCCTCGCAAGCTTCGACGGAACGAGCAATCCTATCTTTGTGTTAGTATGGTTATGATCGACTAGACGAAAGGCACGTACCCTTCGACAAAGCTGTCCATATTATCATTGAGCTTTCGGAGGTCTTCTGGCTTGACAGTATCCGCATTATGAAGCTTTTGCAAGATTCTGAAGCATTGCTCTAGCATTGGCCCAACCTGGCCATGGGACTCTGACTCTGAATCTTTGTTGGGCGGGACGATAGACTGGGCCTGGTGCAACAGATCGTCGATTTTGCTAGTGATAGTATCGCGATGGCTGGTGAAGATTTCCAATAATCGCCCATGACTGGCAGTGATCCTGGAAATCTGATCTTCCAGTCGGTTGCTTCTCTCGCGTTCGGCCATAAGCAAACTTTCGTCGCCTCGAAGCTGGGTACTTTGATGTTGTACAGTCTGGGCAAGATTCTCGATTCTATGACGGGCTTCGTCCCCAAGTTGTTGGGATCTGATGCGCTCATGCTCTGCTGACTTCTGGGCATCCTGCAGTGTATCGTGTAGTTCCTTTCTGGCTAAGAAGACATCCTCATGCTTTTTGTGCAAGTCATCCGCATCCTCTCGAAGCCGCTTGTGATCATTTGTGAGGCCTTTGACATAGTCATTCAGCCGCTTAATCTTGCTTTCCCAGATCGGCTTGTTGGCCTTGAGTTTTGACAATTCGGCAGTCTTCCGAGTCTCACGTTGTACGACCTCCTGTAACTGACCAGAGAGATTAGTGCTCATGTCTCGTAATTCTTGGATTTCAGCCCAATTCTGGTGTTGTGTAGCCCTGAAATCTTCGAGCTCTTGCTGCCCTTGCCTTCGACGATAAATGAGTAGCTTTAGAAGATCATCCTCTGTATAAGTTTTCTTGGGCGGCGGAGGACCAACCGTAGCTGGGCCTGTCGTGGTCTTTCTCCGGCGGGATTTGGTGACCTTGGGAGTACCAGCCACTGAGGTCAAAGGATCCTTAGTGGTCTTGGCTGAACGGTTGTGCATGTTCAATGGTGGTTGATGAACGACCTTCACGGTTTCGGCGGGACTGTGATCGGAAGCGAGGGCTATTGTAGTGGGTGTTGCGTTTGGAAAAGGCACTGGAAAAGGATCCTGGAGCACTGGTATGTTGTTGGTTCCGGCTAGATTATGACCGGACGCGAGAGCTGTGGTAGCGGGCATTGCGTTTGGAAAAGGCACTGAAAAGAGATCTTGGAGCACTGAAGTATGATCATGCGTAGATGAGAGGCCTCGGTGAGCTTCGACATTGACAGCATTTTGAGCAGCTTGAGTGGTGTCTGGTAGGGGTGGCGACTGATGGGAGCGTGTCTCAGTGAGGATAACGGGGGTTTGCTTCGGTCTTCGGAAGTCGAGTTGTTGAATTGGCTTGGCTTTGGTGAAGGAGAAGCCAGCAGCGGGGTCTTTACCTGAGGAGGCTGGTCGAGTGAGCACCTTTATCGGTGCTTGCTGAGAGGCTTGTTGGGAGGCTTGTGGAGAAGATTGACCTGAGCCTCCTGAAACGATGCCCTCGAGAATAGCTTCATCGGTTTCAGCCTGAAGCCTACTGTTGACATGGCCTTGAGGGCCTATATAAGGGCCTGAAAGGTCAGCTGTACAGCGGTCGATGCTATTAAGATGAGGTACTTGCCATGGTGAATGCTTAAGACAAGCTGTGTGGGCCAGTCTTGATCGGTAGCTTGCCTCCATTCCCCGTCGTCAGCGTATAGTAGTTAGCCTCTAAAGTTCGGGATGGAGGGTCATAGGAGGCAGCCATGCTTGCGAATTACTCCCAAACCCTAGAGCGTAATGGTTGAAGGACTGTCGAGAAAGCAGCAAGCCAAGAGTGTGGAGACGGTATCAGGGGACAAGGCAAACATTCATTAGATGAGGCGTGACTTCCTTGCAGGCATTTGCAGCTAGCTACATGTAGAATAGGTGCTTGGCGGTAGGGTTATACCTTTAGCGTATTCAAAAACATCTGGAATGCTTGGCACCCGAGATCTTTCACACCACACACCGAAATTCGTACTGTAGCATAGAAATCTCTCCGCAAAATCCTTTAATAACACTGCTATCGTTAGCATAGGTCCCAAATGAAAAAATGAAGCTATACTGAAGTCTTGGCATGTTCCTCAGCCCCCCAATCGCCATGGTTGTTTCCCTTGATACTCCTACTCAGGCGAAGGCCGAGCATCTTCTTCATTCCTACTGAAAGCCTTCGCAAGTAGCCAAAGAGGTCCGCTGTTCTCTTAGTACTGTTTATAGGTGGAATCAGCGCTTACAGATGTATTATACTATGGGCCGTCTACCTCACGCCCTACCTAATGGCCGTCCTCGTCGACTTACTCGTACCACCGCTGCAAAGAAGGCTCTTCTAGAGTATCAGAGTCGGAAACCGTAAGACGAGCTGGCGGTATTCCTGGAGGAAGAGTGGGGCATTAGAGTCAGCCAGCCTACGGTCAGCCGTCTATTAAGAGAGAGTAGGTATGGCAACGGTCTCTAGCATTCGACCCGGCCTTAGGCGGTGGAAGCGTCCGTCGGGCGAATTACTAATTCATACCCCAAAAGTATGGATCCTGTCAGCGTGTCTAGTTCCTTCTATGCATGCGTCCTTCCTACATCCTTCCATGCAATTCCATCATTGTTCCTTTCATGTAGTTAGCCATAGATAGCAGTGCTTTGTTCTCCATCAGCTACATAATAGCTGATGGCCCCACCACTGAATCTACATGCATTCTACATCATCACCGTTGTGCCTCGCTGAGAGATCCTTACCGAATCATACCCCTAATTACTGAATCATACCCCTACATCAAATTTCACGGGCGAATTACATTTTGGGCGAATTACTAATTCATACCCCGAAAGGGCAAATTACAAATTCATACCCCAAACTATGCGATCCTTACGAATTCATACCCCATCTTACATTTTCATACCCCTTACCAAAAAATGGGGTATGAATTTGTAAGTTGCCAGTCTTTGGGGTATGAATTTGTAAGTTACCATTTCTTGGGGTTTGAAAATATAAGATACCATGTTAGCAGCAGCCCTTACGGGGGCCCTGCGACGTCCCTACGGGAGCCCTACGGGGCCCTATTTAGGTCCAAATAGGAGTGTCTGGCTGTCAAGCGCAGACACCCCCGGGACCAAGCTTTTTTAGCTGAGTTGCTATTATTAGAAGGGTATTTTAGAGGGGTAAATTACAAATTCATACCCTAAAACCTTGGATCCTTACAAATTCATACCCCTAATTACATTTTCATACCCCTTTACTAAATCTTAGGGTATGAAAATGTAATTTACCATTCTTTGGGGTATGAATTTGTAATTTATTAAAATTTGGCCTTTGAGTATCCGGCGTTTAAGGTCTCTAAAGAAGCCTCGGAAGCATTAAAAAGCCCCTAGAAAATTGAACCCTAAAGTTAACGTGCTTGATCGGTCAACGAGAATGACTGGGCTTCGAGACTCTTGGCATACTAACATTAGCGCATGGAGATGATTGGTCAAAATTGGTAGGGCTACCGCAAGGGTTCTCCAGAATAACACCGTCACTGTAGGCCTTTCTCCAGAGCCTTCACGGGGTATTCTACGAATATTGTTGTTTTGTAGAAAGACCCTGATCGACAGATCTATGCTACATTCGGTTAGACCGCTAAATTTTTGGTGTGTATGCCAAGAGTCTCGAAGCCCAGTCATTCTCGTTGACCGATCAAGCACGTTATCGCGGATGGGGTGAGTTGGGGATTAGACCCCGGAGCGAGGTTTTGACGAGTTACACGGCGAACCCTAGAGGTCTTCAGTTCGGGGTTCCCGAGGCCGGTCCGGGCTAATTTCGCAACCCCCGAAGATCTAACCTCAGCGCACTATGGTAAATTACATTTTCATACCCCAAGGAATGGCAAATTACCGATTCATACCCCATTGGAGTATGAAAATGCCATTAGGGGTATGAATTTATAAGGATTTAAGGTTTTGAGGTATGAATTTGTTATTGGAAAGCTTGCTTTCTTAATGCTTAAGACTTGAAAACGAGAATGGGTGCTACGCTAAGGGGCTAGTGACCAATCAGATCATCGGATTCCACCATTTCTAGTCTAAAACACACCTTATTTCTTCATTTTCGATCTAAACACGGGTACACGCGGGTACGTCCAAAAGAGGAAGCTGGAAAAGAACTTCAAAATCCTCAAATCTACCTTTTTGATTCCTTTTATTTTATCAAAAATATGATAATAAACTAAATACGTAGAGTTATAGAAGTACTTATACGCTTTCAAATAACGTAGCGTAGACGAAATTTGATATAGTATTCGTCTAACTATCGAGCTTGCGAGAAGAGCCTCTCCGGCAGGAGCCCTCGGAGAGCCCTCGGAGAGCCCCCGGAGGGTCAGGGGGTTTTAGGGGGTCTCCCCTAAGTATATCAAATAAATTACAACGTCTCTCTCGATTCTCAGGGTTAGATCCCTTAAAATCCCTTAAACCCTTCGGAGCTCTTTAAGGGCTCTCCGAGAGCTTCTGTCGAGGGGCTGTCAAAGCAAGCTCGAAATCAATCAAATATCATTTAAATAATTAAATTTCGAGCTTGCTTTGACAGCCCCTCGACAGAAGCTCTCGGAGAGCCCTTAAAGAGCCCCCGAAGGGTCCGAGGGGTTTTAGGGGGTCTCCCTGAGAATTAAACAGTCAAAAACCAGTACTCGACAAGCTTTTCACTACTGGGAAGCCCGCGCCCCAGCACATATTTTACCCTATTTTAGAGTGTTTTAGACTATCTTATCTATCCCAATTGTTAGTAACCCGAGTTACCGCTAAATAATTAAATAGAGATATTTACACTTCACGCTGCAGATACCTCTAAGGAGCTCCGTAGGGGCCTTAGAGAAATAATTTCTAACATTAACCCGCTCTATTCGATAACCGCCTAGACCGAGGTAATAAATTAGCGTGGTTTTTCTCCGCGTCTCAATCACGCGACTTTTTTTATTCTTTATAATAACTTCATTATATCAAGTTTATAAGAGAAATACGTTCTTACGCGTACTAATTTAATAGATAATACGCTTAGCGGAGGGCTATGGGTTACGGTAACCGTATCATACTAAATTAGTAAAAATTATCGTCTTTTAACGATTACTTAGTAATATAATCGTAATATTAAAATTTTTTAAATACGTTATATATTTTTAATAGTACTTTTCGTAGAACGATAGTAGATTAATTTCTTTAAAAAAGTATATTAATTTTTAATACGATAAATCTAGAAATCTAATATATTACGATAATAATTATAAATTAATAGAATAACGATATTTATATAAAATACTTTAATAATAATAGATTTACGTAAATTACTTTATATAGTTAAATAGACTATTTTCAACTTAAGTAAATTTAATCGAGTAATAAAAATTTATAGAGTAAAATAATTTCGTAGTTCGAATTAACGAATATATTTATTATTTTTAATTAATTTTATAAATATCTTATTCTCAATAGACTATTATTATAGAGTTTCTAAATTTCTATTCTTTTCGAAATAGTTTTTAATTTTATATCTTAATTTTATAATAATATTATAATAGTATCGTAATAGTATCGTAACGATTTTAATCTATAAAACGTATTAAAAATATTATAGTTATCTTAACTCGATACGATTTTTTATTAATACGTACTAAGATATATAACCGTTAATTATTTAATTCGTTTTTTATTCTTTATCGTTTAAAGGCGGAGGTGGCCTACTAACACGTCTCAATAAAATAATTATATATTTACCGTATATATACAGTAAAAGAAGACCGCTGCTACTCGCTAAGTACGCTATCTATTCTCTAATTCTTAGCTTACTAACTAGCGGCGATAGTAGTACTATTTTACATATAAAATACGATTCTATTAATAAAAAAAACCTTTAATACCATATAAAGCTAGAGCTTTATATATTAATTAATTCGGTATTGCAGCCATGTAGCTATTTCAGCTATTTCAGCTATTTGAGCTATTGCAGCCATGTGTATATTTCAGTCATTTTAGCTATTTGGGCTATTGCAGCCATGCGGATATTTCAGCTATTTGGGCTACTGCAGCCATGGAGATGTCTCAGCTATTCCAGCTATTTGGGCTACCGCAGCTATGGAGAGGTCTCAACTATTCCAACTATTTAGGCTACCGCAGCCGTGGAGATGTTTCAGCTATTCCAACTAGGGCTGGCAATGGTGGACCAACTAACTGGTCCACTACCAGTGGAACCGTTAGTTTCTCGTAGTTGATGGTGTAGTTTGGGGTCTATCGGTTGATAGTTAGTATAGTTCTGACCGTAAAACCAACTGGTTCAACTGATAGTGGAGTAGTTTATAATAATCTTTTTAAAAAGTCGGTTTTTTGAGTTAAAAGAGCTAATAGGCCAACATTTATAGGGTTAAAGTAGGGCTGAAATAGGGCTGATAGGGCTTAACACTTGATATAGGTATTAGCCCCCCCCCCCCACTAAGCGATATTTTAGCTTCTATTATATAACCCCTTTCTTGTGTTCGGGAGGTCCACGCTAGCGGGGTCAAATGTAGGGATTATCATTTGTCCAATGATCGCGGTTTACTGCGGCTTAAGACTTTGCTTACTCATGAGCGCGGCAACGTCGATCTGACTAAT